AAAGATTAAAATTATAACACCGTATTTGGGGAAATACTGACATAAAAGAAACTTGGGGCGTCCTATTGGTTTCATTGTCTCTATATTGCTGATGACAAACAGCACCGTGATATTATTATAAGAATAACTGCCTATGATTATCTAGTTTATTATCACATTCATTCTGTGAGTCTTATACTGGAAATGATTCTTCAAGGATGAGGCAGTGCTGGTGCCTCATACTAATGTGTCCAGGCAGTGATATCTGCAGGAATTACTGGGATGCAATGGTCAGCGCCAGGTTTACTATTTGCAATGTAGGGCTAAGAAATCATTGCAAGATGACTTAAAGAATTAATGTGATAAATACACAAAATAGTTTAATTCATTTACTCATCTCTCAAGAAATAATGTTGTGAAATGACAGACATTATTCTAGGTAGAGGAGATCCAGAAAGAAACAACACCGAGTCCTACCTTCAAGAGCTCACAATCAAAAGTGCAAAATGAGAACCTGGTATCAATTCTAATATGCTACATGCAAAGGGGGGCAAATATGCACCTTGATAACTCCAACTTATGGACATTGGAAAAGGACAGAATGCGTAAGAAGGGAAGACTCGTGGGTAATATAGTAAGAAGAGAAGAGAAGAGAAATGGATGTGACATCAGGGGAGATGTAATGAGAAACCGTGAGACCCTACAAGTTGGAGAAAAAGGGAGATAGCTTCAAAAGTTATGCAGAAAAGTAGAATCCACACTATCTAGAATTAACTCAGAGCTGAGTGATAATGGACACTGTTCAAGTCTGTCTTAGGTAACCGGGTAGGTGGTGTTAACATTTAGGATTACAGGCAATATTGGCAAAAAAATGATTGTGGGTGAAGGTGTAGACTGGAGGTGACAAGTTGCAATTTGATGAGTTGATATGGTGAGTCTGAACTAATGTCAGGGACACGTGGCTGGTGGAGTTAGAAATCAAATCTGAAACTCACATTAAAGAGTTTCCCTGGATCTATAGATGTTCTTCAACTTTTATATAAAAAAATATGGTATGAAAAGTATGTCATATGCTTAGCTGTAACATTTTAGGAAAAAATAATATTGCTCTATTTTATCATTTTTTTTTAAACTTGAGATTTGAAAGATGAATTAAGAAACAATGCTAGTGAGAAAGAAAAGAAGCAAAGAGAAATCTGATCACAATGTGAAGGTCAGGTCATTTAATATTTAGGATTTACTGTGATGTCTGGAATTAACAACAAAATTTAGTCACACTTAATAGATAATTGCTCATGAAAGGAGGAAGAAAAAAAGAAGGAAGGAAAAAGAGAAGGAGGGAAGAAGGAAGGAAGGAAAGAAGGAAGGAAGGAAGGAAGGAAGGAAGGAAGGAAGGAAGGAAGGAAGGAAGGAAGGAAGGAAGGAAGGAAGGAAGGAGAAAGCAAAGCAATAGGCATAGAAAACAAATAAAAAGAAATGGTTTAATGGTGCAAAGGACAAGGAGGAATGAGTTTATGGAAAACGTGGCTAAATCAGATGACCAAAGCTTCTCCATGACTTGATACCAGAAAAATCTTGCAATTCCCCTATCAGGCGATGACTTTTTGCATAAAAAGACCAGTCCTTCTTCCACCTTTTCACACAGTAACCCAACTGAGGTGTGCATAAGAAGAATTCCTATGTCCAGAGATCCGGCAGAAAATGGTGCTAGTAGGGGCACAAAGTGTGGAATAAACAGTTAGCTATAGAAAATGATGTTCTTGAAACTGCCATAGAAGAATATCATGAAGAAAAGTTATGCACATATTCAGAACTTAAAAGAATCATAATAACCTGGATGCTATAGAAAGTTCCAAGCAAAAGTAATCAGACTCCTCTTCTGTTTCCTTTGATGTATTTAATTCAAAGGAACATTTACAACTTGAGTACAAGTGCATATAAGGACCTCCAGAATGTACTGTGAACCCAGGGCTGGAGAACATGGCTTGAGACTTTTAAGGAAAGAGAAGAATCTCACAGCATCTGTGTCTGATTGGGCCTAGAATATTCTGGAGTCAGAGCTCAGGTGAGAACGCTGGCTCCCTTCCTCCTTGTTGTGTTGGTCACTCAAACAACGTGTTAAGAATGGCAATGGAGAGAGTTGATAATGGATGGTGGGACTCACATCTGGCTTTCCTTTCACTACTTTAATCCATTCACATTCTTCCACAGACTATACAGGAGGGGACCTCCAAGTTCATGAGGTATCAAGTCACACAGGGTCCTTAGCTGGGGTTTGGAAACACACAAAGAAATCTTGTTTTACATGCTTCTCATTTTATCCAGAGTAAGAAAAACTTAAATGATCCTCAAAGTACTGAGTGACCAGAACACTTATAGCTAATATAGGAGGAAATAATCAATATTTTGAGAATGGAACCAGAGAGAAGTGGAAATGTCACGGATTTTTATTAAATAGTTGCCAGGCTTATAATGGCGTAGACTATTCAATTTAAAATTTGCCTATCAATTGCAAAATTATATGCCAAAAAATGTAAGGGTTTGTATATACTAGCTTAAGAGGTACAAAATGCATGCAGTAGATAGTGCCAAAGAGCCCTTTGGGACTGTCTAAAAGAATATCATTAATTTTTACAGTGTACTTCCATTTTTGGAGCCATTCCAGCATTGGCTTTCTATAAAAATCATTTCAAGTTTAGAATTATGCTATTTGCTTGCAGCAACATCACAGGAGCAGTAGTGCACCATATGTTGCTACTTAGCAACTTAGTCTATAAGTCCCAAAGCATGTACTGATTTGAAAATTGAACAGGAATTATAATTGTTGAGTGATGCTATGAGGCAAGTTGTCTTGGATTACTAAACTATGCAGATGTTTGATGTTATATAGGAAAAGGAACAAAACTTTTTTTTCCTACAGGATGACTAAAATCTAATTTATGGTTGCTGAAAGGGATAAATTGATTAAAATGTCCTGAAAGAATACCCGGTAAGCACACTATAGTCTAGTCAACAAAAGGAAGGCTAAGTGTAAAACTTAGCTCAGGTCATTCAACTAGGATAATTTGTGAAGTTTATTCCACTTCAGAGTATGTATTATATCGGTCTAATTTTGAAATGGCACATTCTAAAAACATTCTCATACACGCCATACTATTAAAAAAATAGTTTCCTTCTGGCTCATGAACTTGCTGCATCTTTATAAAGAAGCCAAAGTATTTGGCACTCCTTACCTTTCTTCATGAATATCACTTATATTTAAAACATTCTTAATAATTCTTGAATAAAATATTAAGAAAAGTAATGTCAGCTGTTTGACTTTCATCAGGGCTTCATATTAACCATTGTACTTGAATTTGAAAATCCAAGGAGCCAAGCTGTTATGATATATATGCTTCGAATTTCCAATCCTTTATCCAAAAGTCTTTAAGACGGACATAATGATTCTCTGAAAGGGAGCAGCTGCTTTATAACAGCAATCATTTATTGAGTTTATGTTTCTACTGTTTCAAACAAATTCAATTAGCCCTTACACTTCAAAACCCTAAAGGCACCAAAGAGATGATACCGAGTTGCTTTAATCTAATAGTAATACTAAACTTGTCAGTACAGTTTTGGGATTGATGGTTAGAAGAAAATTAATAGTAACATTTTTCATTTTTTAATCAAACAGTCCTATTCAGAACAACCTATGGATCTTGGAGGCCACTTAGCTGAATGAATTCAGTTAAGTAAGAATCCTAAATGCAAAGCTCAGCCTTCCAAAGGTGTTCTTATAGTGATCAGCTCAGCTGAGTGGAAGAAAATGTAGTCTGGATTTTTGAACTCAGTGATGACCTTCTCATTTGAACAGCTCAGGGTAGCCTCCAGAATGGCTGCCAGAGAAGGTGGTGTACATGATGCCTGCAGAATGCAAAGTTCATGGATAGACATGCCAACCTGTATTTTGAGTTAAGCATAGACATTTCATTCTTCGAGAAATTTCAAAGCCCAACAAAGAGAACCCCTAACATATACATTAGGCTTAATTCATGATAACCACCATGAAGATGAATAGGAGTTTTATAACTCTCGCTTACCCCGCTACCACCCAGTGACCAAATCTATTTACACAGATAAGTAGGAATTGAAAGCTATGTTAGAATTTATGCCACAGTTACCGATACATGAAACTCCAAGCAACCATGTGGTTTGACTATTGTAGAAAAAAATATGTTTGAGTCCACAAAATGTTCCTGTGAACTCTCCCTCACTTTCATTTACTCATTTATTTATTTTAGCTTACAATGTGCTTTCATATTATGTTATATTGGCCCCCTAGGGCAGTTATAATTTTGCTTTACATGCCCTTGCTGGAGGAAAGGGCCTGGTTTTAAGTATCCAAAAATAAATAGCCAAGCATTTACTTTAATAAATGTAACAATTTACATTTTCATTGGACTTTTGTTGTCACTGCTCATGATTAAGTACCTTGTCAACCATTCCCAGTGAAATGGATACAAACATGCCCTTGAAGGGTTTCAATCATATCATGCATTTGGGCTTGAAAGCTACCCACCCAGTAGTTTCTGAAAACAGTTATAGAGCACTCCCTGGTCATGTGATTTCGCTTGTAAGTGTAAATTTTATTGAAAAGTGCCCCAATGGTTGATAATTAAGGCTATTTGTGACATGTGTAGCTTATAATGATTAACTCGTCTACAGTCAGAAGCACAAATAACCTGCACCTGTAAAGACTTTATTTCCTAAAGGTAAAACAACTGTTTAGGAAAGATCATGCTGGCAAAACAGCTGCTTGCCGTTCTGGAGAGGAAACAAGGTAGTATCTTTCAACAAATGCCAACTCTGGTGTTTTATCAGCTCTATCTCATTAACTGGAAACAAGGCTTAAATGCTTTGTTTATAAATTATGATTATTCCTGATTGCGGCAGTTACTGATAGTGCTACTCATTTGCAATGCAACTCTTTGAATTTGTTTAATTACAATTTGAAACAAGGCAGAGAAGATTAATTAACCCACCTGGCTGGCTGGCACATAGTCCTGGCTCGGCTCTGTCATGCTCATATACATGTTCTCACCGTCAAACTGCGAATGAAATAATAGTAAACATTCAGCAATCTTGACTGTGTGCGTGTTTGCTGTCTTTTTTTTTTTTTTCTCCCCATCATCAAACTGGAAAACAGTAGCCACGAAAAAAAAAAATAGTGTGGTTGGGAATACAGAAAATCTGTCCTAGCAAGTGAGCCACATTTTTCTTTGATGTTTCTGTTGTCATCCTTCCTGACCCTGGATGTCAGTGATTTGGAGTAATTAGTGCTCTAGTAATTACAGTGAGCAAGCAAGAAATGAATGGTTTCCTTTCATCTGCAATCTGTTTTAAAACAAAATGGCTCATTTTGCGCACCGTGTATACATATTGCAGCTCAGTTGTAATGAAGTATTAAATGAATGGCACAATTTCTGAAAGAAAAGGATAATGGAAAATACACTAAAGCACAGCTCAATGCATTTTAAGTTCAGCTCTCAAAAATGAAAAAGTGCAGTTTTCGTAATAGACTAAATCTGGCTTCACCATAATAGACTTATGATTAAAAATGTTAACTTTATAATAATATTTGAAAAGAGCACATGCCACTACACCCATGGCTAAGAATGACAAAGAATAAGAAAAATACACAGGCTCAAATATTAATTTTTTTCTTTCTGAAGTTTTCAAAGACATAGAATTAAGGTACTGCAATGCATAGAAATTCATGCACAAATATAAAAGTTAGGAACAAGATGGGAGAAGGAAATTTCACGGGCAATGCAATTTCAGAAGGACTGAATAGCTCAAACAACAACAACAACATACTTTTCACTATTTGGGTTTTTGAAAGCAGTAATCACTCCATTCAGACTTAATCCTCAGCTCCTTTAGTCACTTGATAAATGGGCAAAGCATTCCCCTTTTAGTTAGAGGAAGAACTTCCCCAAGGAAATAATCAAATGGACTAATATAGACCACTTCAAAGAGTTGAGTCTGAATATACTTTCATTGTTAGACAAATTTCAGACATGGGAACTTAGAAATCTAAAAAAATTAAGATTTCAAAAGAATAGGGTTATTGATGGAAGTGCAAATACACAATACTATATACATAGGTTATACTGTCCAAAGTGAAAAAAAAATAGTTCTAGATATTGCATTCTACCACTTAACGAGCTACTAGCTTAAAAGCATTGTACAAACACCAGGGACATGCCAGAACCTCTGAACTGTAGTCAGGAGCAGTGGGCGCCCTGAACATTCACATAAACATAAGGTTAACAAGTAAAGACCTCCCTGAGGACACTGAAGCACTCAAGAGGTTAAGTTCAAAGAACTGAAGGATTTCCTCTCACATCACCCTGCAAATATATTTCATGTTATATGAACAAACTTATCTAAACATTAGAAATCACTCACTGAATGATGTGGTTGTTAAGACAAGTCCAAAATAACACACCTAGAAAAGGATAGCTGGACATCTCTGTTGCTTTGGCAACTGGCTCAAGAAGCCTGCATCTATCCCAGTGCTTACCCAAGTTTGCTTTTACATCAGTCAGGGGATTGCTTTTACCTAGAGAGTTGAGGCCTAGTCAATCGCCTGTTACTCCTAACAACTCAAAACCTTCAGCATGCACCCTCCCCCACCCACAATTGCTTTGTTTGCAAATGTATTTCATGTTAAGATGCCAAAAAACTATTTAAAATATGGACAGTTTCTTTGACTTTAACAAATTGAACTGAACAGAAGTAGGAAGTGAATCAAATACTCCACTGCCTGTGCACATTCTATAAATGTGTTACTTTCTATTTCATCTTCTATAACTCATTTTCTAAATCTGGTGTTATTCTCAAGCCAACTAAGGCTTTGAAGTTTTGGTTTTAGTCTATCCAAAGCATATGCTAATTGAGCACATTCAATGTTACTGCTCTGATTAGGCCTCTTTCCTCAAAATGTACCAATGCTGAAGTAATATTGAACCAAGGCAAAGCAGTAGCTTACAATAAAAGGCATATGGCTACAAGAATAATCATTTTTGAGTAAATTCTGTGTTCCTGTCACCTACCAGGTATCCTTACATGTATTAACTGATTTAATCTTCACAACAACCAAGAGTTGGATGTTATTATTTCTGACATTCTACAAGTGAATATACAAAGGCACATAGAATCTAAACTAGATGCTGCAAGTTACATGCTCTCCAGAGGAAAGGCTGGGATTCAAAGTCAGCAGCATGTATTTAACTACCAGAACATAAAAATGCATTCTGAATCATACGATGAATTAACCATCAATTTTGAAAATAATGTCAATAAATCATCAAATCTGAATGTTGTCAAAATTTAAAAGACTATGAGATATTGTTCAGAATTCCTATGATACTGTGACACTTTCACAAAAATAATAATCATGGTGAACTGTGGCTTTAGTCATCGAACTGGCAGAACATCCCTAGATGCTTTACAATTAAGCTTTAAAAGACGAAAGGATATGTGATGGTTTGTTTCATGTCAACTGGATTGGGTCACAAGTGCTCAGATACCTGTGTCTGTGAGGGTATTTTGGAATGAAATTAAAATTTGAATTGGTAGAATGAGTAAAGCAGAATTGTTTTCCCTATTGTGGATGGTCCTCATTCAGTCACTTGAAGGCCTGAATAGAATAAAAAGGCTGACCTTCCTGAGAATAAGAGGAAGCTCCTCCCGCCTCACTGTTGACCTGACAGATCAGTCCTTTCCTGTCTGCAGACTCACAGTGAAATATCAACTCTTTTGCAGGGCTCAAAACTGCTGGCTTTTGGATTGAAAATGCACCACTGGTTTTCTTGGGTCTCTAGCTCCCCAATCACAGATCCTGGGACTTCACACCTCCATGAAACAATTCCTTACAATAAACTTCTCTCTCCTCTTTGTCCCTCAGTACACAGATTGTCACTCCTAGCTCTCTGGTGAACTAAAAATCCAGTGATTTCTTTAATTATGATCAAGATTTTCTTAACTCCTCCAAAAGCTTATTTCTGGAGAACCGAGGATGTAGAAACACACGAGTGACAACTATTTCACGCTACTGCTTTCTTTCTGTGGGAGCAGAAGCTGTGTCGATTGTGCTATGAAAGTCTCTGGTTTTACCACACCCACATCCTGTGCGCATCCATACACATTCACAGCTCTGTGTCCAGAATGCCTTCCTCCCCTTTCACTCATCGAAGTGTTTCTTATACCGTATACTCAGCTCCCCTTAGTCAGGGTTAGGCTGTCTTTGGTCTTTGGGCTCCTCTGGGCCATCCTCTGCTTCCCCCAGGTTAGTTGCTTGGGGACTAACTGCACCACTGGACTGTTGTCGCCTCCTAGAGCAGCATTGGGAGGGCTCGGGACAAAGGAATGACAACTCAAAGTCCAAGTGAGAGAGACAGGTCTCAAGGAGCTTGCACCTAAAAAAGTGCAGCCTTGATCTATGGGCCATCTCATTCATTTAGAATCAGGTTCAGAGAAGGTGCATAAGTACGTGGAGGAATGTTCTTGAGTGGGGGTTGTGTTATCAGCATGTAAACTGGGGTGGAGTGACAAAGGGCTATTGCTTCAGGGGCTTCATAGTTGCCCCTAATCAAAGCATACTATCTCTAATCCCTATTCTTACCTAACTCTCTGCTAATCTTTACAAGCAAGGTTTTCTAGCTGATCTTGCTAATCTGGCCATAATGTCTGCCTGCTGTTTTCATCAGATACTGGTTTCCCAGTATGTTCCTTATACCAGAACTTTTGCCCTGGTGAGAGACCCCCTGCCTGATTCTACTTTTTAGCTTGACCAGCAGGAACCCTGGGCACCAAGATAATAGCCCTGATAACAAAAGGGTCTGGGGATCCACAGACTGAGCTACTGGAGGGCACAAAGCCCACATCTTCATTTTTCTTAGTATCTCTGTAGCTTAAGATGGGCACATAGTAAACCCTCAGGGAATAGTTCTCATCTAATTAATAAAAATTATATAATATTTGCTTGACTAAATAGATTATCTTTCTAATGAAGGTAGTAAATTTTCAAAGAGAAAGAAGATTCAGCTTTTAGAAAATAATTTGAAGGTTTTTGAAAGGGGTCAACTTTTTTACAGTTTAGAATGGAATAAAACTGATAGCTGTCAGAAAGATTCTTAACACGATTCTTAAAAATGGACAGGACACAACTCCATAAATTATTTCTCAAGATTTTTATTTAATAATAAACATATAGAGTAGCCAGGAAGCAAGACACCAGGCTATAAATGGCTATATGTTCTGAACAATTTTGAGTTGCTAAGCCAAAATACATATGTGTGTCATTAAAGCTTCATCATTCCCCTTGTGGCTGAACAAACTCCTGGACGCCCAGGGGAAAAAAAAATGCCAACATCCCAGCAGAGGTACTCCTTCCTCTCAACCTGACCTTAGGTGGTCAGGTTAATGCCTCAGTTGCACTTTTCATAACTTCCCCCAACCACACCCTGTCCAGGAACTGTTTCCAGGGATCTCAGCAGGCCTCAGACTGATCCAACATTCTTAGAATGCATTGCATGTCCTAGGCTTATGCCCAATTGCCACTTGAAGTAGGACCCAGACTTTTGGTCTTGGAGCGGTCTCTGAAGGCATTATATCTGAACCCCTCATTCTATGGCTAAAGACACAGAACTTGCTATTGGTCACAAGACCTGTTTGGGAATAGAACTGAGGTCTGGATTTCTAGTAGAAGAGTTCACATGATATATTGCTTTGTACTCCATCACCCATACACAGGAGTTGTGTATGGCTCCTTTGCATACTCCACAGACTTGAAGACACAGCCTTTGCATTGCACTACTTGCATTCTCCTTCCACGTTGAACAATGAACATTATTAATAATTATTGCAGTAAAATTGTTTCATTAACAACCACCTACATTTCCCTCCTTCCTGTTTATCATAGATAATAGCTTTAGAAGTCAACTGAATTCAGGCATCTTAACTTTTCAAAATGTACCTAAGCATACTAAAACTTTTAATTTCCATTTATGCTCAATTTAAAAACTGCAGCAAAGTTTGAAAG